CACACCCCGCCACCGCTTGTGAAACCGATTTAAAAGCACACGTCCGAATCTTCGTTCGAAGAAAGGTTGCCGGAGAGGGGAGCGACTCGACCCCATCGGTACCTATGCCCTGTAAGGGACACCTTGTTTAATTGGCTCGTTTCCTTGTCAATTGTGTTAAGTACTCGTTGCGTTAAAGCACACCGAAAAACAGAAACGCTTCGCCCATAAGGATTACTCGTGTCTGTGCGTACAACCAGCAAGGGGAGGAGGAATCGTGTTATGGGGAGCAGAAGAACGAAAAGCACGCTTATAATCTCTGTTGCTCGGCTGTCACGCAACGGAGGACTTGGATTGCACAGGTGTGTGCGTAAGGGAACACCCTCGTCCTCGCCTTTCCTCTCCCTGAAGATGTCATGGCAATAAGATTCCATTAACTTAAGCAGAGCCAGGAATTAAATCTACGCGGCAAGTCGAGAGGGAAAGTATCCTTTGGCAAGGAACGCGTTCAGTTCTTCTTTTCGGTTGGAAATCCAGCTGGTTGTGGCTTGCTTGGGTTTCTTTCTTACCCGTTACTTTTAACACAGCAAAAACCTGACACCTGAATGACCAACACTGCAGAACCGACACCTTCAAAGTCAAACCCATTTTTAAAGATAATTAGGAAGCCTCGTGTGTTTGCTTGTTTGTTTCTCAAAAAGCCGAGCTTGCTCTTGCCTAGAAAGGTACCTGCTGTAATTCTCACCTGCAGAATATGTTCCTTCACCAAGATTATTTTGCAAGATGTCTTCCTTTCAAAAGAGAATTCCTCCCCACGCCCACGCTCGTTTTAAGAAATACTCTGTAACAACTGCTCGGTTATGGTCATCGCATTATCAGACCGCTTCGGGGGCTTAGAGATTTTGCCCACCGCAGAGCATCTCACGGTGCGATTGTTAGGCGCGCGAGATGAAAAGGCATAAACGATGTAATTTTAGGCAGGGAAGAACGCTCGTTCGTTACCCCCACAGGCCTTAAAAGTCACGTGAATGAATGATAATGTCGTCTAAAAGTATTTTTTTAAAAACGGGCTCCTCAGATTTCCAGTAATGAAGGGACATTTGGTACGAATAGATTTCAGCAGCATCCTAACGGAAGTACCAAGCGGGACTTATGAAAGTGACAGCGCTTAAGTGTATAATGCTATTGGGGTGTATTCTTGGAGCAGAGTCCACTACATTGAATGCGCAGAGAAGTAGCAAACACACAGCTACACAAAAAATTATGCTTAGCTTTCAGAGTAACATATACATGCAAGCAGAGACAGACAAAACAGGCCTATGATCGTTCAGACAAGGAAAACAAAAGCCCTACAACTCGCAGCATGCCCCAACCAGCATAGGATCGCACCCTTTTCCCTATTTCTGTTCTATCGTTCACTAACCGTGCAATCTTAAACGGGTCTACTGAGAAGCAGGTGTCATTGCTTTCAATGGAACTGAGTCCCAAGTCGGTCCATTTAGGACTGCCTATTTTCTATAAATAATTCTGTATAATATTTTTGATAAATAGAAGTCTTTCTCTTCGAGGAAGGAACTCTGTTTTCTTTTTGCATGGTGATCTTTCAGAAAAATGCAGAGTCAATTTTAGTATATGAAACTACTGCTGCTATTGCTTCTTACTGTCTCTGAAGTGGGTTATTTTGACTGAGAAAACCAAAGAAAACGAAAATGCTACCGCGCACAAATTTCTTGCTCGCATTACACATAATGCTAAAGGCATTTCTATGTAAAACACTCTGTGAACAGAGCAAATAACTGCAATGTTCCTGCAGGTTTTGGGAAAAGAAACGTTAACTGACCACTAGATGTCACTGTTTTAATTTTTCCTAATTTCGAGATCGATAATGATTGTTCAAGCTTATTTAATTATCTCTTACTGGAAGACAGACCAATTACGAGTTGATGGTGATGGTGTTGATAGAAAGAATCTTCTGATGGCTTTGTTGTCTCCAGCAATAGAGCTGTAGCCCAGGACTTGGATTAAGATTCGATTACTCTAGATCTGAAATGGAATTTTTTCTCCTCTGTAGTCTTAAATATAATTCTTTCTTTCCCTCTGCAATAAATGGACATCCTTTACAATTTGCATTTTGTTGCTCTCTTCCTTCAGGTTACCTTCCCTCAAGTTCTTTTATTTTGCAATAACCCAGACAAGGAATGTATATAACTAATACTAGGTTACACCTTTGGGCAAGTCAGGGATGCTTCTAAGTTCTAACTATGTTTCAACACTAGTTCAGATATTGGAGTTCATTTTTTTCAGATCACATCTGAAAAAACCACTGACTTATCAGAGAAAAGAGTTTAAAATAAATAGCTCTAATTCTTAGGAATACTTATTTTTGAACTAAGAAACACCATTCAGGAAAGAAAAACAGACAGGCAGACAAAAGACAGACAGCCTGTGAGCATCCCCAAGAACTGAGCATCACTAAAATTGGTAAACAACTGGAAATCCAAAAATAGCCCAAACTGTTTGTCTATTCACATACATATGTTTTAGGATCTGAACAGGAGCTTGCACTAGAAAAATACAGAATGGAAACATTTAAATGAATGAAATATCACTTTAATTTCAGTCTCACCATAAAAGTTCACTGGAAATCAGAAAACAAGACTAAATCACACACGCACACATACCCCCAAACTTTAACCAACCAACTCCCCTTTCCTGTGCATTTTTTAACAATATCCATCTCCACTCTGGTTCCTCCAAACTTGTTACACTACAAGTCCCATCACCTTCAGACAACATGGGGATAGTGTCAGCTGTAGAAGGTGGGAAGTTGGTGAAGACATCTAGAAGGTGGGAAGTTGGCTGTCCATCCCAGGAAGGTGTTTTTCACTGCTTACCCTAACATGGCAGCTGGCTGTGAACAGGGGGAGTGCTTTTCAACCCTGTGATTCCCCTCCCTGCAATCTAAAGTGGTATAGTCCAGAAAGAGCTGCACCATGCCTTATTCAGAATGTTCAGTTTGATTCTAAGAGCAGGCAGAACTTGGGGTTCCATTTCCATATTAGCAACTCCAACTTGGTCTCAACTTCCTATATGTAAAATGAGTATACTACACACCAATTTCATGTTGTTACAAATTATAGGATGTAATAGCTGGTGAAATAGTGTGCATATTAAAAAGACCATAGGAATTGATGAACAAGAAGAATTCGTAAGTTGGGGAACTGAAACAAAAGACACAATCAGCTATACACTGCTGGGACATATAATGAACTTGTATTGTTTTGTCTCTCTGATCCAGTCAAGACAGTCATATAAACTGGAATGAAAGTGGCAAAGCAAGAACATGTATTTCCTTTGCATGTTCTCGGTTCTTCCTTAGAGAGATCTTTGTCATGTTTAGTGGTACGCACTGACACTTGGTTTTATTTAGATGGGGTGTGAGCTTACAGACAGAGGCCATAACCCTATCACACTCACTGGGGAATAAATCCCATTGAAATCAGTGGGGCTTACCTCTAAATAAGCATACACAGGACTATGCTGCAGGTTTACCAGCTCAAATATTTGCACCTGCTATGAATTCACTTCTTACCTTAGACAAGTCCTGTCTCTCAACATCTGCCTTGCAGGCACAGTTAAACCTTACTATCTGTGCTTACCTAGAAGATGTCCTCACTGAACTTACCCAGACTTACTTGCAGGTAAGTGGGTATAGCAAGCTTCCTCAGTTTGGTTCACTGCAGATGCATAGAACTACAACATTGCCTGGGAATGATGGGACTTGCAGTCAAACACATCTGAAGGGCACCAGGTGGAGGACAGCTGACACAGAGGACTGCAGACCTCTAAGGGTTGCTGCAATGAGATAAGACACATGAACTGCTTTAGAACATGAGAAAAGCCCCGCAGGATCAGACCGAGGGGCCATCTAGACCAGCATCCTGTTTGCACAGTGGCTAACTGGCTTCACGTGGGAAACCCACCATCTGGACATGACTTCGAACACACTGGAGAGCTAGGCAAGCCCTATTGTTGTCTTCTCTAGAACAAACCATGCCAGCCATAGTTATTATGGTTTCTCTTTATTGTTGGATATATTTATGTACCACATTATATGATAAAGATAAATTTTCTGATATACATTTGTCATCTTATTTACCACAATTACACCACACATACATTTGAAACAGCTCCACAGATCTGGTAGTTGCACAGAATGGTTTTCTTGTGTGTGTTTTGTTTCATATCCAGAGTACTTTTCAAATCCAACAAATTGATGATTGATTGACTGATTGATTCAGGTAATTTAGAAATAAACATGACCCAATCCAGAACTGAACCCCAAGTCTCCGATTGCAGCTGGAGGCCAGATGACTCTTGATTGAAATGGGAAGCACAGGGATCAGACATGACTTGGAATGGAAGAGTTAAGCAGTCCTTACTGGTTCTTTTCAATACACACTGTCAACACTGTAGCTTGCTAGGCTCATGGTTGGTCAGCATTGCCATTTTAACATGTTGTTTGAACAATCTAGATCTTGTATTGGGCTTCATCCAGTTGTCTATGCGCTTCAGCGTCCCAGTGCAATGATCCCAAGCAACTGTGCTGACATTCATTTATTTCTTTAAGTATTTTAACAAGGCTAAATTGCATAAAACTTGCAAAAATATTACCATGAAACCTCTGTTTCCAAATAGAGCATTTTACTTCCCTTATAAAGATTGAGACTATTGAATAGATGGGAGAGTGAAATATTTCAAATATTTTCTCTCTGATAATATCTAAATAATACAAAATATATTTATTTTACAGGCTTAGCTTATTTAAAAAGTCTGCAGGGTAAGCATTTGATCTGGAAACTTTGCTTAAGGTTCTGTGATAGAATTTGCCAGGTGTACTTAACTAAAATAACATTTTTCCTTCAAGGGGATGCAACATCATTTGGTTATGTGGATGTTCTGTGTGATTCTCTCTCTCTCTCTCTTCCCCACCTTTTAATGCAACAAGTTCAACCCATTCTTTAGTCTTCTGCATTGGTTCTAAAAGCTTCAATTAGACCTTCTAGTGAGTGAATGAACCCAGACACACTGCATATACCACCTATTACAAAAATGGCCACATCAAAGAAGACATGGTGCCACAAGAGCTTCCTCCACAAAAGCTTGAGGTGGAAGAGACTGGGAAGGAGGAAACAGAGGCCTGCACCTGTGAGGCTTCCTGTCAGGCCCATCAGGAGGGCAAAATGTGGAACATAAATGGCCATCAACAAGGTGAATACGACCAGAGCACACCGGAGGGTCAGCCCCCAAGCTTTGAGCCTCCCATCACCCCCATAACAATTAGGGAAGAAGGCCCTGTTTCCATCTTGGAAGAGAGATCTCTCCAGGACTTCCACAGCTGCAAAGAAGGGCAATGGATATGAAAGCAAGGCCTTGGCCACCAAGAAAATGTTAACAACAGCTCTAATGGTGGATGGCAGGTTGTCTGTGATGACTTCTTTTGTGTCGTCAGCCCAAGTCAGATAGGCTACCAAGGCAAAGAGTCCCTTCAGGATGCAAGCAGCTATGTGAGTCCAGTTCATCATGCAATGGAACTCCTTGGGGTTCTGCATGTTCCCTTCTAAGGAAGGCAGAAAGATCTGGGAGGTATAGCTGAAGACAATGATGCCAATAGAAATGGGAAACTTTTTCACATCAATGTAAAACTTGACTTTGTCCCATGCCCAGTCACGGGCTCTGGAAAGACAGTAGGCAATCACCAAAATGTTGATCACAAAATGGGCCAAGGTGCAGAGCAAGCTGAACTTGGAGACGGCCTTGAGGTTCTTCAAGAAAGCACAAGGCAGGAGCACAGCTGTGGCAATGATGGACCATGATTTCTGGGAGACTGGCAAGCTCGGGAAGCTGTTGTACATCAGGTTGCCACTGACCACGACATAGAGGATGCAGGTCATGACCAGCTCTATGATCTGAGCTACATTCACAATCCTGCCCCCAAGCGTGGGAAACCTGGGAGTGCAGCAGGCATTAGCAATGTCCACATAGGAGTCTCTCACCCTGACTATCTCCCCATCTTCATTCTCTTCGTAGAGACAGGCAATAAGAATTTTCCCAGTGTAGCAGCAAACCACAGCTGCAAAAATAATTAAAAAGAGTCCTAGGTATCCACCATGAAGAATAGCATAGGGCAGGCCAAGGACAAACATCCCCTAGAAAGAGACAAAATGGAGACTGTATTGCTCATTTTATTTTGCAATTGGCAACTCATACTTTTGTGCAATTGATATGCACAAAAGCAGACAGCAGGGACATGTTTTCTTTTTCCTGTTCCATGGAGTCAAACAAAAATCAAGCCTTTTAGAAATGGGTCTGAGAAAGAAATTGTATACTTTATTTTCCAGCAGAGAATACCTCTTAAAGAACAGGCAGTCATATGCATTCATGAAGTCCTTATGCAAACAAGAAAATGTATTTTTAGCTAGGGAAAAAAGCCCTGCCATTTAAAGAATTAAGTTGCAAAAAAGAAAGGGCTATTTATAAATTTCCAAAAACCCTCAAATGTGTTTAAAAATCTATGATGTTTCATTATTAGTGTTAGTTACCATCACCATTACCATTATCATCAAGGCTGCAATTCTGAACACATTACGGAGGCAGGAAGTCCCACTGAACATTATGGGATCAACAACCATACAACATGCTTAGGGTTGCACTGCATATCTTTTAAGAGCACCTTGATCCCTTCTCCCTCCCTCCCTCCCTCCCTCCCTCCCTGTGTGTGTGTGTGTGTGTATCAAAAACAGAAGCAACTAGCTCAAAATGCTGCACTTGGTAAAAGGAAAAGATATACTAGAATCACTGAGAAGGGTAATTATCCCTATCCCTTCCCATTCCATAAGCTTTTTGTACCTTATTCTTATAAAAGAGTAAGACATTCGTACAAACTAATTTTTAAAAAGTTGTACAGCACCTTGTGCACTCTAAGGAACAATTAAAAATGTGGATCCTTGAAACTGCTATATATTGTCACTTGAAGGAAAGTCCCAAGCAGTTTCCCTAAGCCTCCAAGAATCTGCAACACTGCAAAGAAATGTTGGTTAATTCATTATTCTAAAGGTAAAAACTGGTGTTTGAGGTATATAAAATGTTTCTATTGAATTTAATATCTAAATGACAGACCAGTTCAGTAAGATGTTAAATTAAGCTGAACTGTTTTATAGATCATGTGCAGTGCAATCCTAAGGTAACATTATTCAAAAATAAATCCAATCAAATTCAGTGGGGCTTTTTTCCCTGCTAAGGACGTACAGGATTTCAACCTTAATAAACCCTAAAGGATTATTTTATCCAGGCTTGGATGACTGTAGGATTAATCAAAGACTGTTAAATGTCCCCACTACAAACACAAAAAAGACACGTTGATGAAAGTACATAAGAATTTTTTAAAAAACAACAGCTTCTATTTTATCAATTTTGCATCCCGCCACTTCAAATGAAAAATTTATCACAAATAGGCAGGTGCAACGTATTTTTGTAGGAATGTTTCCTAAGTTTTTGGATGTAATTTCATTACGTCACATTTTGATCATCTTCCAAAGGTGTTCTTATCTTTATGCACCGACACTTTTGTGGGCAGTAATAATAATACTAGGATTTCTTTTAAAATGTGGAGCAATGACAAGGGTTTGCAGATTAAGATCAGTGCCATTTTGTTACAACACAAAAAGAGAAAGAGATGAAAGAATCAGGTGGTTTGTTTCTATTTGTTTTTTCCTTTCTCCTTCTGCAAGTCACATTCCAAATACATTTAACTGAATGAGCAAATCATAATGAAAAACAGATGTATAATGCCCTAGGGAAGGAGGAGCCTCTTCTATTTGGACCGTATGTTGCCTTGGTCATTTGATGACCAGAACTGTGACAGAAGCAGTTCTAGGCACCATAAAAATGAAGTCAGGAGGAAAGACGGGTGAGATATTGGGAGTTCAGTCATTCATATGCAGGATTGTGGGGAGGAGGGTTAAGGTCACGGTCTTTTATGGTCTGGAATCTTGTGAGTTGCGATTTCTCAGCCCCAATAAAGCTTGGCCAGAACTGAGGGAGAAGAGAGGGTCCCTCCCTAAATAAATAAACTTTAATCCCACTGAATGGAACTTTAAAAAGGCTGGGCTTTGTGTGTTGTTTTGTATAAGAAGTTGCGCAGCATAGACCAGCAACGTGGGATCATGCACACATTGTGAGGGTGGTGGCTGAACTAGCTGGCCCCCGGGGAGGGGGCTTCCTGCCTCTAGGGTCGCATGGTTGCACAGGACACACTCGAGGTGACAGAAAGCAGCTGAGCAGGATGGGCTGGGAGACCTGCTCCTGCATAAGGCAAACGTCGCTGCCCTGCACTGTCCGCGGTGGGCTCTTCGAAGGGCGAGGGCAAGTGGCAACCTGGCTCTATGGTGCCAACCTTCTGAGGTGGTCCCAAGGGATCCCGCCCCATCCAGCTGAGAGAAACAGAGCTCGGACATTACCTGGATGGCATTGGTGACGTTCCAGCCAGCTTCCCACGCCGTGATCCTGGGCTTCCCTTGGCCGGACAACTCGGAGCATACGCCTTCGTCCTTGGAGCCAGATGGGGCCAGGGGGCCAGTGCCATCCCGCTGGTAGTGGATATCGCCCTCCAAGGGCGGCTCTCCGCCTTCCTCGCTTCCCTCGGATTTCAAGATGTCCATCTGCAGCCCCTGCCGGTGCTCGTAATCGAGGTCATCGCAGTGGACGAAGCCCACCGCCTCTTCATCCGTGGCAGCCTGGAAACCCATACGGGCAAACATGCCGCTGACTTTCGCCTGGGACTTGTTGGAAACCGAGGTGGCCACATTGGAGATCTTGCTGCGGATCAGCGTCGCCATGATGGTCTTGCTTGTGCCTGGACGGGGGCTGGGAGGGGAGGGTGGTCAGCAAAGACCACGCAGGCGGAAAATGATGAAGAAATGAATATTTCAACTCGAGAGGAAGGGCAAGGCGTGAGGCGGACTCCTGCACCTGCGGCGACTGGCGATCCTCTGCTGCTGGGGGCTGCTGAGGGTGAATCTACCAGGGCGCTATCTCCACTCTCGGCTGGAATTGCACCTGCTCCACTGCAGTGCTCCTTGGACCATGACACCGCTCAAAGGGGCCCCCTTGGCTGCTCCATGTGAAGTTGTCGCCCCCTTCCTGGTGCATAGGCTCTGGAGAGGACCCCCGGCAAGCGTCGAGAAATGGCGGAGCCTGGACGCCCGGCTCAGCTTCCCCAAGGCGCCTTGCCAGCCTCTCGCCCGACGCCCGTCCTTCCTCCTCCTCTTCCTCCTAAGCGATAGAGGCGCGGGTGGGTTGTCTCTCCAGCCTCAGCGGTGCCAATGCGATGCAGAGGACCCTGGGGAGGGGGGAGAGCCAGAGGGGGGGGAGGGAGAGGGACGTGCGATGATCACCAGATTGCCAACCCGAGCCTTCGCCGTTTGCTGTGCGCGACACGTCTCCATCCCCACGCGCTCATCTATCATAAGGAAGGGGAGGGGACGCGGCGACAAGCGGGGAGAGGGAGAGGCGAGGGGAGGTTTGCTGCAGTTCTGGGGGAGGGCACTGCAAGTCCCCACCAAAACCGCCTCTCTGCTCCCCCCCCCGCCCAAGAGGAGCACCCGCACCTCAGAAGCACTGCGGATGGGGGCATTTAAACGCTGCGCGGTATTTCTGCTCCTCCCCAGGCTTGCTCTGGAGAGTGCAGCCTAATCCGGCTTCTGCCCCCCACACCCCTTCAGCAAATCAGAAATCCAAAGGGACAACTCCATGTATATGCTAGGAAGTGAATCTGGCATGTTCCTCCCCTCCACACACACACACACACACACACACGAGTTTGAGATTTATGACCCCCCCCCCCTTTTCCGTTCAATTTGTTTCTCTTTTTCAAGCACTATTATCTTGGACCAAAAAACAAGACTGCCTAAAAGTGGAAGGCGATGCAGAATAATGACAGAAAACCAGGCCTAGAAAAATGGCGGACTGGTTATGTACCTCCTAAGATATAGATATAGGTGTCACTTTGCAGGGGAACAATGTAACGCATACCCCTGGTTCGCATTTATGGCATATAAAGAGAAATGCCAGCATCAAAAAGATTTGTTTTCAACATGTCCATTCCGAAATATATTAGTGTAACGCACTTTCATCCATCTCTATATTGATTTTTCAGAATCCTTCTTTCCATCTTTGAGATTCATAAATATAGTGAATGCACCAAGTTTCTTATTAGGTTAAAGTCAACACCACACTATTAAAAACTTAGCAGGCACTTCATTGTAATCGAGCTGTTTCTGATGCTTTAAAAGACTGCGGCAAGCAATCCTAGTTTTCCGCTGGATAGGAGGCAACAGAAACAGCGCGGGGGAGATTTGGAGATCGAAACCTCCCTTAAAACATCATTAAAGCAGCATCGTTGCAAGAACTCTGCTTCTGATTGCTCAGTCCTCCTCGTTCTCCCCACCCCGAACAGTCATGCTTCTATTAATATGGCAATTAAATGTTCCTAAAATAGGATGCCACCTGAAATACCTACATATTATTTACTGCCTAATTTTATTTATTGCGTGATGTCCCTCTGCGTATGCGTGTGTGAAGGAAGGAGGGGGAACTGAGTCGCTCTCGAAATATTTACATTCAGATCGAGGGATCAGAATCAAACAGGAGAACGAGACACGATGCTTCAAGTGCCACTGGGAACTGCATGCAGAAGTGTCAGTGGTGAATGCCCAGGGCGATAAGATAGGACTGGAATCACGGGGCAAGGTAAGTTGGTTGAAATTTCCCCACAATGCTTTCACTTTGGCTTATGGGATGAGTTTCATTCAGAGACAGAAAGGGTGCCTACTGAGGTCCCAATCCTGTTTAGCTCTCCATCAGCTGTACTAAAACACTCCCCGTGTAGTATCAGGTCTAGTTTGGCAGAAGCATTCATTGCCAACCCGTGTCCCTGATCTCTGGTGCCATTTTGCAATGTGAAAAATGGTTATAAAGTGAAGGATGAACAGATGAATATCCAACTGTTGCAAACCATGCAGAGAACCGTGGTGGCATATAAATAATTTAACAATACTAACAATAGTATTATATTATAAATATGGAATTAGACAAGCTTCAAGGTGAAGAAGGAAGCACAAGGCTGTAACCTCTCTCCAGAGAGGTTTACAATCTCACGAAGCTGTAGCATGCCCTTGCATGTCTGAAGGGTACAAGAAGGAAGGCTCAAACGAGCCATGATTTGCAGAATGATATGGATCGGAAATGGAAGCCCCTGTAGCTCCGAAGAAATTCCAAGGGCACCCTCCTGTGAATTTTGAAGCAGAAAAAGTCCTACAATTCCCAGCATTCCCCAGTCAGCCATGTTGCAGCTTTTTCTGTCTTAACAAGATAGCATCCCAAAATATTTCAGAGCAATGGAAACCACCTATTTAAAGCTTTCGTTAGCTAGTATATAACCATTACAGCTTTAAATGCGTAAGTTTGCATTGCCGAAAGTCACTGTCTCTGCTGCTAATGTTCTAAGAGATGGAGGTCAAAGAAAACCTCTTCATTCACACACACACACACACACCCCCCTGAAGCGGAAAAAGGAAAGGAATCACCACAGCAATTTAGCAAAAGCAGCCTCCGTTCTGGCTTTGGAAAAGGAATTACACATATCACTGCACAAATAGGTCAAGAAAGGCAAGCCCTGGTGGACCTTCCATATTTAGGAAAATCTATCATGCATCCAGTTTTTTTTTTCTTACTGCAAAAAAATGGTCCAATGCCCCAACTCTCCCTCCCTCTCGCTCTCGCTCTCGCTCTCTAACCTGTTTAGGTTGCCAGTTCTCTTTGGATTTAAAGAAAGAGCATTTTGTCAAATCCTTAAATTTATTGAGGTATTTACGAAATGTGAGGAATTTAGCCGTACGGGATATGAATGGACTGGCATCTTGTGTGTTGCTTTGTTCCATGAATTCAAACTGTTTTTTGATGTACTCATTTGATCCCAGGCAATGCTACCTTTGACTGCACAGAACTTTTATTCCAAGTCCCTGGGCTGTTTTTGTTGTACGTTTAAACCATGCACCCACACAACCAGTTCTTGTGCAGAAGAAAACTGGTTTTTCCTGATGAATTTGAACTACACTGTGTGTGTATTAAAACAACTCTTTAAAAAATGCTTTAAGCTTCCTGTTCATATCCTCCCCATTCGCTTTGCACATCACAGCAAAAAACCGTAACACACTGTTTCTGTCCACTACAAACGATGTTCAAATATTAGAATAGGATGTGGAAAGAGACATCTACGTAGGGCTGTGATCATGATGAAGGCATGGCGCTAGAAAGAGAGAGTGAAAGGTATTCCATTCTATTATATTCTCTCTCTCCTCTCAAAGTCTGGGTGCTCCAGAAAGAAACAAGAGTTCTGCTAAATGAGGCACAAAAGAAAGGAAATAGACGGAGCAACGCGCCACCTTTTCTCTCCCCTTCGGTTTGTTTTGTCTGGAAAAGGTCACGGCCGCTTCCCTCCGAAATCTCGATTTGTGGATTCCGAGTGGGGGAAACCCCGTGGTCCTCATTAATGCTCTTTGGGGATGACGTCGAGCTCGCCCAGCCTCCTCCCTCCTCGCAAGAAGCCCTCGCTGGGCGTCCCACCTTCCGCTTTCCTGGCGTCCCGGGCTGCACCAAGCAAGTCCTCTCCCTCCCTTCCGTTTCCGTTCTTTTCACGCGGAATAGCAGCAGCTCTTCGTTGGACAGCGGAATTTTCTGCCTATCCTGGGTCAGCGGAGAGCTGGATAGTTGCCTTCCAAACAGAAGAGGATTGAGCTATTGAAAGCATGGCTTGGAACAGGATGGAGATGATCGCTTGCCGGCTCTAGGGGTGCAAGTTGAACGCCGCCTGTTAAATCTCATCCTACAAGTTATTCAGGCAGGCCTCCCTGATCTTCTTCAAGTCCTTTCAAGATCGCTAAACTTGCTTTCATCCCCTTTCGGGAAGCAAATTCAATTCCACTGGACCAGTCTTTATTAAGTGTGCGTTTTTTAAGCACCTTTACATCGATGTGCCTTTGTCTTTACAATTGACTCTGCCCCTGAAAACAGGGAATCTAAATAGTTAAGAATCCTAAAAATCCTAAGCAAGTGATTTTGCGGGGCGGAAACACTGTCAATAAAATGTGCCTTTGATACAGAGAATAGGGCAAAGTGTCGATGTCAATTTAAAGTCAAATAATCGGCAGTAATTGCATCCGTCTATAAATGCCAATATACCTCAGTCAATAGTTCGCCCCAGATTAAGAAGAAGCGCTACTTCCCCCGTTATTTTCTTCAAGCACTGTGGGACCGAAGGCATGCGTTTAAAGCTAGGAACAAATCAATTCAGTCTTAAGAGCCCTGATTGAAAGAAGGGATACATGCTTAAAGGAGGTTTCGCATCGAATACTTTCTCGGGGATGTCTTTCAATTTCAGGATTAGGATGCCCCAGCCTACTCCTAAACGCTACCTGAAAGTGAAGACGAACGTTCATGCATGCAGTTTTTCATCCCACAAACTGACCGTAGGCTCTGTATGATGTTTGGGGCAGAGGGGTGAGTTTTTGTTTGCTACTCTGCAAGAGCCATGTTCTCTGATGCTGGAGAGAACATGGCTCTTTGTTACATGCCATCAGGTCGTGTCCATTTATGGCAACCCTATGAAGGAGCATCCTCCAAAAGGTCCTGTCCTTGACACCCTGCTCAGCTCGTGTCAACTCAAGAATGCGGCTTTCTCTGTGGAATCATAGTATCATAGAAGAGTAGAGTTGGAAGGGGCCATGAAGGCCATCAAGTCCAACCCCTGCTGTTGCAGGACACCAAGTTACACCATCCC